GTGGAATATTCCACTTCCATTCCAGGAATTGGTTTACCAGGCCATTTCTGCCAAAAAGCAAAATCATGCCCAGACCTACAACAAAAGGTGGCGTAATAATGGGTAATAACGAAATCAGGCGCATGGGTTGCTGCCAAGTCTTGGTGCCGCGTTCAGAGAGCAGGGCAAGCATGGTACCTAAGGCAGTAGTGCCTGCTGCACAAAGCGTAGCCAAAATGAGCGTATTCCAGGCGACACCGCAGGAAGTATTTTTTAGACAAGTCGTATTAAAGTTCCAAATGCGAATATCGCTTATACGCTGCCAAAATGCCAAGAGCGACCAGTGCTCATCGCTGTTCATAAAAGCCGAAACCAAAGCTTTGCTCACAGGATAGGCGATAAAAAGCCCCAATAAGGCGGCACAACCCAAAACAGCGCCAGCGACAAACATGTCGCCGCGAAAATTTCCCCTACGGGCCAAACCAAAAGCACTTAAAAAAAGCAAAGCGGCAAGTGCAATGATGGCGCCCCAGCCCATACCGTATTGGTTTACATCAAGTTCGCCAAAAACACGGTTTAGCCAAGCAAAAGACCACCCCTGTATGCCAATAGCAAAGCCAAAAAATAGTAAACCTATAAACCCTGCCCCACCACCAAGAAGCAAAAATACGGATTGCCTTTTACCAGGCTGCATAAATGCGGCAGGACTGGCAATTAAAAGCCCCAAAAGACCTACCAACAACCAACCGCGCTTTTGGTAAAGCGCCTGCCACAATCCGTTTGCTTGTTCGTCGTTACCAAAAAGCTTGGGCAGCGCTTCTAACAAACTTCCGTTTTGCTGGATGTACCACGGTAAGAGCAAGTAGGCCAATGCACCCAATATTAGCCAAAATGCAATAGAGCGGTTGGCGCGGTGTAGCATAAAAATCCTTATTGAACAAGAAAACAGCGCAAACCAAGTTGCGCTGTAAAAAACGAATAGTTAGCAGCTTTATTGCTTGGGTATGGAGTTGATCTCTTTTTCCCAGCGAGCAATTAAGCGTTTGCGCTCTTCGCTGTTGCCATACTTGGCATAGTTATAGTTAATAAACTTGATTTTTTTGAAGTCAGGCACATTAGGGTCTACTTTTGCATTCTTATTAGAGGGTAGCTGGTACTGCTTGGCTGCCGCTGCCATTTCTTGGGCTGATGGTGTCAGCGCCCAATCGACAAATTTCTGCGCCTCATTCAAATTGCGTGCGCCTTTTATGATACTGACAGAGCCAATTTCTGCGCCAGTTCCTTCTGCCGGCGTAATGGTTTCAACGGGGAAGCCCTTGCTCTTTTCGCCAGGACCATCGTGTACAAAGCTAATAGATACGGCGGTTTCTCCTCTAGCTACAGCCTTAATAGGACCGGTACCAGAACGTGTGTACTGGCTGATATTTTGGTGCAATTTTTTCATGAAATCAAAGGCTTGATCTTCTCCCATTAGTTGAACCAGGGTGGCCACCATAGTGTAAGCGGTGCCAGAAGAGGCAGGGTTGGCAACTTGGATGTCTCCCTTATAGACGGGGTTAAGCAAATCTTTCCATGCTTTAGGTACAGGCGCGCCCTTTTTCTTCAATAAATTAGGGTTATAGCCAAAACCCAAGGGGCCAGTATAGATGCCAACAGTGCGGTAATTAGACTGTGCTGCTTGTTGCAGCGCCCAAGGCTGCAAATCTTTCATCATGGGAGATTTGTACTCTTGAGTCAAATTCTGCTCTGCAGCTTGTAGATGAGGGTCGCCAGTGCCGCCAAACCATACATCAGTCTTGGGGTTTTGCTTTTCGGCAATGATTTGTGCCAGCGCTTCTCCAGAGCCTTTCATGGTCATATTGACTTTGGTGCCTGTTGTTTTGGCATAGACGGTAGAAATCATATTGCACCACTCAGCCTGAACTGAGCAAATGACATTAATTTGCTGAGCCTGAGCCAAAGCACCGACAAATCCCAAACTACCCATAACAAAGACCGATTTTGACTTGCTAGAGAGAAAACTCATGAAAGCATGCTCCAGAAAATGACATAAAAAAACATCCACGCACTTTAACCCAAAAAATAAAAAATTATGACTGACTTACCCTAGAGCAAATGCAAAAATCGCATGGAATTAAGTTACTGTTAAAATACTGCATGACGTAATTTTCGAGTCTTCTCTGATTTGGTGAAAGAGGTTACTTCGGATGCGATTTGTTTTTGCATACACGGTAAGTTCTGAAGCATAATTTTTTCATAACGATATATAGGGCAATTTTCATGAGTTTTGATTTAATTTTATTTGGTGGCACGGGTGACTTGGTCTGGCGCAAGTTGATGCCGGCTTTATTTCAAGCGTACCGCCATGACAGCTTGCCCGCCGGGGGACGTATTGTCGGAGTTGGGCGAGACGAGATGTCAGACGCGCAATATCGGGATTTGATACGCAGTCGGTTTGAACAAGTGGATCTTTCTAAGCGTCCTTCTCCAGAGGAGTTTGAAAAGTTCGCAGCCATGCTGTACTATTTTCGGATGGATTTGACCAAGTCAGAAGACTACGCACGCTTGGCGACATATATTAATGAGCATGGCGCTGATGAAACCATTATGTATTTGGCCACAGCCCCGAGTTTGTTTACCCAAATCTGCGATGGTATTGCACAAGTTGGGCTCAATGGGTCCCACACCCGTGTCGTT